ACTACACCTATCTATCTATCTATCTATCTATCTATCTATCTATCTATCTATCTATCTATCTCAGTCTGCTCGTATCTATCTATCTGTCTCAGTCTGCTCGTATCTATCTATCTGTCTATCTATCTATTTCAGTTTATTCAAATCTATCTCAGGCAATTCACATTTGCCTATCTGTTTTCCCCATCCCCTTAAAAGATCAGACACTGTGTTACGCTCTCGCTCTCTCTCTCTCTCTCTCTCTCTCTCTCTCTATATATATATATATATATATATATATATATATATATATATAGTTTTAATGTATACTATATTTATGGGGTAACAATCTGATTCATGATTGACCACTATCATCAGGCTCTGTTGGTCAGTTAATAGCTTGACTATTTGTCTCTGTTAGTTAGAGTATTTATGGCTAGCGAATTTAATTATTTCCGCTTCTATTCTTCTTACGACTATCGAATAGGACGGAGTGATTATTTCAAATTCAGACGGCTCCCATGTGATTATTTAATAGTCATTGTATAGGATTGTTTGTTAATTCTCAAGTCACTTTTATTTATTAATAATTAGTTCAGTGTTTTTCAATTTATTCATTAATTGTTCGCCACTGATTATTTGTTTTCATTAAATTTATATAGCGACGTGTTACAAGATATCAATTTTTCGTTTCACTATTTTTAGATAACGAAAAAAAAATTGTTTTCGTGTTTATTTATTTAAAATTTGTCTTGGTCTAGAAAGCTGATTATTGATATTGTCTCATCCAGACGCAATTTAGAGCTTTTAGAGATATTGTTGCGTGCTGTCATTTTCATTTCTTATTGGTCAATTTTGTGTTTAAGTTCCCATATATATTTACAGAGTGTTGTGCCGTTCGCGTATTTACTGTTGTTAAAAGATATTTTGTGTGCGGAGTTGCTGTTTCGAAGGTCATTCAGTTACACCGTCGTATATTTTTCTTTGTTATCTGGGGGATGTGCATGGCAGCGTCTTTCTGCATTCTGTTGAGGATTCTTCTAGACTCGATGAATTACTCTAATGATTATTCTAATCCCTCAAAAATTTCTATCACTTTTATATATATATATTTATAATTTTTAATTATATATATATTATATATATTAATCAATTCACCCTGAGCAAGGCGGGAATGCCATTAGTACGCAGGGGGGTCACAGAGAGTGAAGGAGAGAGAGAAAAGGCTGGATATAGAGGGGACCGAGGAAAGGATAAAAGCGGAACCGGAATCAAGAAGATAGAATATGACGATTGACATTGCATTTAAAATTTTCAAGATTGTAGTTATCAGGGAAGCAAGGAAACGGAAGGGAGTTCCACTGTCAGGAAGTGCGAGTAACGAAACTGTTGGAATAGAAATGGCGGTTATATTTACATAATTCAACAGAACCTAGATGCCAATCTAGTAGCACGCTTAAACACACGTAGTCCGAGAACCTGGGAAAAAAGTTCGTCAGAGCAATAGCCATAAAAATATTTGTAGAAAAGGAAGAGGGAAGCTATGTCACGTTGGTGAGAGAGAGAGAGAGAGAGAGAGAGAGATAGAGAGAGAGAGAGAGAGAGAGAGACTGAAATCGAGATGCCAAGTTAGGATCGATCAAATTGCAGATCCTTCTTTGCATTTTGAAGTGGCATTCCACTTGAAGTCAGTTGAGAACGCGAGAACTAGAAAGCTCTGCGTGTTGCTCTCCATGAGTCTAACATTAGCCATGCTGATGGTGGGCAGAATATTCTATCTATGGTGGTTAATAAGGCATTAAAATTTACAAGCCATTTCTTGCCCCAGTTAACTACTGATTTGAGCACTTTTTCAAGAGCAGCAGCCAGGTTAACTTTGTCAGCTTTGCCGTATTTGCTATTGAGACAGGAATTAATAGTAGTGCCATCAGCATAAATGTCTACTTGGGAACTTATGACATCAGTGCGATTATTGATGAAAATAAGAAACATGATATATATATATATATATATATTCAGTGATGGTCGTTATTACATGAGCGGTAGATTTAGATAAAACGAAACCATATTGTTTGTCAGAGAGTAGGTCGTGGGAGGTAAGATGCTTAACCACGTCAGCATTGATTAAATCTTCGAATACTTTACTGAAAAGCGGTAGGAGACTAATAGGGCGTTAGTTAGAGAATTCTTAAAAACAGAAACTACAAAGGAGGACTTCTAACAGGCAGGAAAGCAGGAAGCAGTGAGGCAATAGTTGTATCGTTTCGAGAGAACTAGAGCCAGTTCCGGAGCACATTTTTTTAGGACGACGGTTGGGATTCCGTCACCTCCGCTTGTCTTATGGGAGTCAAACTTAGAAATAATGTATGACAACTGTGACAGGATTATACACATATCACTCAGTAGAGCCTCTGTTCTAGAAGGGAAACCAGGTGTAGGTACTCCACTTGAGTCGAGTGTTGAGTTCGAAGAGAATGCTGTAGATATCAGGACTTCGAATTGATTGAATAAAGGAAGGGTGTAGGATTTGCTGTTGTTCAGCACACTCTGGCAAAACCGCCAATAATCTCTGGAACCAAATATGCCAATTGCTATACGTTGTTTTATTTTATCAGCAAACAGTAACATCGCTTCTGTGAGGACACAATTGCACTCGTTACGAGCAGAAACAAAGAGACGTATGTTGCAATCAGACGTCTCGCCCTGATGCAGCCGGAATGATTGATTCCTGTGGGCTATAGCGGCCGAGCATGAAGGAGTGAACCAAGGAGATGAATGTGGTATTTCATTGTTGGGATAAAAGAATCGATGCCGACTTTCACTCAGGACATCTCAGACGCACATTTAAGAACAGAATGATTAAAAACTCCAAGGAAGTATCAAAGAAAGCTGATGAAAAATTAAAAAAAAGTATCAGATCCGGTGCTACAAAAAGAAAACTTCAATACATTTAATATTCTTCGATTCTTCATTTTTTCCATGGATGGAAGCTTTCTTCCTTTTTCAGGAGAGCGAGGAACTTCCTCGAAGTCTGGATTTTCTCGACTTCTTCATCTTCTTCCTTTTCAAGTGTATTTTTGAAAGGAAGGGCGAAAATATGATTCTCGGACCTAAAATGACAAAACTGCTTCAAAAGCCAAAAAGGTTTGTGATTTGAAAAACTATTCCATCGTTTTCCTTCAAAGGTTAAACAACGAATATTATAACTTAGTGCTAAGAAGTTCAAGTTTTTCCTCTTGTCTTTTTATTCAGACCTCGCATATATATATATATATATTATTATTATTATTTAAGCTTTTTATGTTAAATAATATGTTTCTGTTTGTAAATTATCTTCATTAAACTCTGTAAAAGGAGAAAATGATTAAAAGACAAAAAGAAAAGAAGAAAAACTATTCCATCGTTTTGTTAAAATAATATTGGCTAAGAATTATTTCCTCTGTTTTTTTAACTATATATATATATATATATATCACTTTGTTTTGTTTCTACACCATAAACTTGATTAAATAAATAAAAGTTATTTAAATCACCTGTATGTGTTTAACTAATCACTCACATATATGGTATTGATTAAATGATCTCTTTATTTGTACATAATCATTATCTATCTATCTATCTATTTATCTTTATCTATCTATCTCTATCTATCTATCACAATAATTAGAATTAATAGTTTAACTCCTCTGTCCCTACTCTACATGTCCGTTGCTATGGTACCCCTCATCTGGGTTAAGGTTAGGGATATCGCTTTACAACTGGAGTTGCCCGTTGAAAATATGACACAAACAACCGGCATTTAAAACACTTCCCGCCAAATTCATCTTTCTTATTTCATTTGATCACAAGCACGCAGTAAGTAAAATAAATCTTGACACCTCCCATCCAGCAAGAAGTTGTTGCATAGAAACATCTATCTATCTATCTATCTATCTATCTATCTATCTATCTATCTATCTATTTCTGGCCATATCTATCTATCTATCTATCTATCTATATATCTATCTATCTATCTATCCTTGAAAATAGTAAAAAACGGTTCGTCCGAACGAAAAAAAAATGTTTACACACATTCGATTATGCAGTTCTGCCGCTACAGATAAATCCACACTGATCAATACATTATCTGAGGCAAACACTTTTGTCCCTCTGCGCACACCCGGGCATCTATGCGCATGCGTGCGTCCACTTGCTCATAGTCAATAGTTGAATGTATATCTGAATATTTCTGCTGTCAGTGATTTCGTGAACGCCCATTTTAACCAATTACATTTATTATTCCTGAATTAAGTGAAATACTTGACGCACGTCCCCCCACCACATACACGCGTATTTAGGTATATAAATCTTGTTTATATGTGAGTGCATATAATTTTTGTGTGAGCGAATGTGCATATGTATAGTATGATGAAGTTCCTAGCCTAATGATGGAATGACCTTTTCTTAAAACGACACATATTCATTGTTTTTAGCAAAAGACTATATTGTATCCATTGCTAGGTCATCTGCTAAGAAAGTTGGTTCACTGTGTTGTGCTAGACAATTTTTCTCTCCAGAATCAATCTTATATATCCATAAGTCTACCATTCGTCCATGTTTAGAATATTGCTGCCATATATGGTCAGGTGCCCTTGCTATATATCTTGAGCTCCTTGATAAAATCCAAAGAAGAATCAGCAATATTATTAGTCCTGATCTGGCTGCTCAGTTTTAGCTACTTTCCCAACGCCGTAAGGTTGCCTCCCTGTGTCTTTTCTATAAATACTTTCATGGTAATTGTTCGAATAAGCTCTTCGCTATGGTACGTAGACTTTTTAATTTTAAGCGCAGTACTAGAATGACATCGAGATCTCATCAATTTACAAGTGAGCTAGCTAGATGTAATCGTAAATTCTATGCTAAGTCTCTTTTCTCGCACTTCTTACTTATAACTCTATGCTTTGCAGCCAACTTTAGTCAGTAAAAATTTAAATGGCATAATGATGAAAGAAAAATTATTCTGTTCATTATCTGTCTATGATGATATGTCTCATTCTGTTCATATCTATCTATCTATCTATCTATCTATCTATCTCATTCTGTTCATATCTATCTATCATCTATCTCCATATCTATCTATCTCATTCTGTTCCTATCTTTCATATATCTCTCCATATATTTCTGTTCCCTCTCTTTCGTATCTTCTCTCTATTTGTTCCTCTCTGTATCTTCCATCTATCTATCTATCTATCTATCTATCTATCTATCTATCTATCTATCTATCTACTCAGACTATGTTTGTGTGTGTATGTGTGTGGGGATATATATATATATATATGTTCTACTCTCTCTATCTATATCTTTCTCTCTTTCTGTCTATCACTATCTATCTATCTATCTATACAGACTATGTTTGTGTGTGGGTGTATGTATATATATATATATATGATCCCCTCTCTCTATCTATATCTTCTCTCTTTCTGTCTATCACTATCTATCTATCTATCTATCTATCTATCTATCTATCTATTCATCTTTCTGTCTATCTGTATCTTCATCTCTTTCTCTCTGTTACTATCTATTTAAATAACAACAACAAAAAAGACAAAAAAAAACAGCTTAACTAAACTCTGGAAGTATCAAAGGATTTTCTTTTCTTTTCATAACACTTTGTGTGCATGCGTGTTCATACGCTTGAACCGAAGAATCAAAAAAATTTCTTGTGTCGCGACATTTGTTGTGTTTTTATTTGTTATTTTGCGCCTTTTTATCTCTATTTCCTGTTCAACCGGTTTTGTACAATGTCAGAGACCAACCTCGTTTCCGCTTCAAGTTGAACCAAAATCATTTCCCTTTCTTTTCCGCGGTAATTTCAACTATGAACCGCCAAAGTAGCAAAAAACATATGGACACTATCAACAATTATTTAGTGGCCGGAATACTCGACCGAAAACTTAACAGCCACAGGTAAGGTAGCTGTTGTTAGGTCTGTGCGTTGAAGTGGCAGCAACCATGGTTATAGTGTTAAGTTTAATGGCGGGCAGTCAGCGGAAACAGTTTAATTTTTCATTTTGTTTTTTCAGCGACGAAGATTTACCAAACACATGCTTAAAAAAAAACAAAAACAATAAAAAATTTTAAAACAAAAAACAAAACAAAAAAAAAACGAAAAATTAAAGCTATTTTATCCTACCTTGTGGTTGAGATGGTTACACGTTTCTCACTATAGACTGGTATTTAAGCCGATGTAAACTAGATTTTAGTTTCTCGACTTTCAAAGCAGGCCCTACCGAAGTATACGTAAGCGCAACATCTTTCTCTGCCGGAATTTTCGAGATGAGAAATTATCTACATATTCATCATGGTTGTTATATTCACAACGTTTCTGCCGTTGTGCTCTTTGGTCTTCTTCAGGTGTTTAACTGCTTACCAAATAACCTCTTGGAATTTCGAACTGACGAAAAGAAAACGACTTTAAAAGGAATAATAACAACAATGATTCGTCTTATTAATTATAACTACATGGTCATAGCAGCAAAAAGGAATTGTGACCACAAAGTATAAAGGCAACAATAATCAGAGAAAAACTAGTCAAAAACTAATAATAATGACAATGCTTCATCTAAGGAATTGGGGCTACAAAAATAAGATGAGAGGAAAACTAGTCAAAAACTAATAATAATGACTATGCTTCATCTAAGGAATTGGGGCTACAAAAATAAGATGAGAGAAAAACTCGTCAAAAATTAATAATTGGGGCTAAGGAATTGGGGCTACAAAAATAAGATGAGAGAAAAACTCGTCAAAAATTAATAATATTGGCAATGCTTCATCGAAAAAAACAAAAAAAAACACGGTTTAAGAATGTAGATATTCTGTGAAATTTCCTGGATTCCTGCTCATGAGTAAGAAAGGTCAGAGTCATTTATTTTTGCAGTTGTTATACACGATATAGCCTAGTTCGGGTTTTTGAAAGCTTATCTTTCGGTCCGTAATTTATATAATTATATATTCATTAAGTGGCTTTCATTGCAGAGATAGATAGATAGATAGATAGATAGAGAGAGAGAGAGAGAGAGAGAGAGAGAGAGATAGAGAGAGATAGTGAGAAAGATAGAGATAGAAATAGGTAGATGTAGTGACAGACAGAGGGATAGAAATAGAGAGAGAGAGAGAGGCAGACAACGAGAAAATGTTTTATTGTTCAGTAGGTGTCTTTCCTGTCTACTTAAAACGGTCCCAGTTTCCAACGCCACGTCCTACTCGATTGACCATCACATGACTGTTCATAATTAATTTCATGATAGGTAAGTCTATACCCATGTATACACGTGTGTACGTATGTATAGGTTTCACTATAAAAAAAATGATAAAAATAATCATACAAAACAAGGTAGCAATAATAAAAATCTGAATGACATCTCCATTTGTCACGCGTCGGCGCAGGAAGACGTCGCGCTGAGTTAATAGTGGTCACGTGTCTTTCCCATAATGCCATGCGTTTAAATGTTTTCAGTGACGCAGACGACGCTGGTCGTTGACGAAACCACGTCTGGCCGGTCTCTTCAATTTTTCATACGATTCCCTGTCAATCGAGTGCGCAGCACGTGGCTACCGGAGAAGTTCTTTTAATGAACGTAAGTGAAGGCAATTCATTATTGAATTCTAAATGATATACGAAGAAGATATTAAACTACTCTCGGATTTAGATAGGCAGATATAAATCCTTAAAAGATAAAAAGAAAATATATATATATACAACAACAACAATAATAATAATAATAATGACAATAGCTGGGAATCCGAAAAATAATTTATGAAGACGTGATTAAAATAAGGTAGAATGGTAATTGTTGGAGTAGTTATTTTTATTTCTAAAGTGCAACCAATACAAGGCCCAAGTGCCACTCAAGGTAAAGGGTTACTGAATGAGGAGTGTGTTAGACATTCTCATGACGGTCGTCCTCGAGTATAGAATCCAGCGGTTGGCAGTGAATATTCCGGAGACAGTAAGAAATCGTAGTGCAGGTTCGCAGTGGAAATCACAGCAGAGTGTAGTTCATCCTTCTCCTGGTCGCCTTTGGTCCTTCCGGTAAAGGAAACAAGATGGCCGCCTTTATACACGACGAATACAGTGTTGTGCGGCTTCTGATTGGTCAACCTTCTATTGGTCGACTATAAAGGGAAATAAGTCATTCTGACTCGCTCACTAGTTATACGTGTAATATACCCAAAAAACCGTAACAGAGTGTGATAGGAAAAATAAAAGGAGGTTGTGATAATTGCGAGAATTTGACAGATAGATAACAAATAACCTAGGCTTGAACCGTCCTGGGTATGATGATAAACTACTTCCGGCAGCAAGATCGAGAGATTGGAGCGTTTAAGGAGCATGGAAATACCTCTTAATAGCTGTTGTTCCCAGGTCCACCCTGATGTCAGTTGGTAGCACATGTCAGGGTCCCATCTATTGGCAAATACTGAACCCCCAAACAAAAATCAACGGTACATTTTTATAGTAAAATTACCAGTAATACATCTTTTTAAATTACCAATACATTTTATCAATCTACAAATTAAAAAAAAAACATACGTTTACCCTGAAAGTATAAAATGATGTACAAAAATATCTGTAGATGAAAGCATAAAATTATGTACAAAATATTTAGATTTCGGCATTAAATAACCTATAGAGTTTGATATGTCGCTAAACGAAAAGAACCAAAATTCTATCTCTCTTTCACTATCTTTCGGTCTATGTCACTGAGATGAAGTATTATGATTACTTGCATTATTTACATTATTCGGACTGTTATCCTAATCTTCATTGCCATATTCACAACGTTTCGGCCTCTATATCTCTGAGATGAGGTATTAAAATTTCTTGCATTATTTACATTATTCGGACTGTTATCCTCATCTTCATTGTCATATTCACAACGTTTCGGCCTCTATATCTCTGAGATGAGGTATTATAATTTCTTGCATTATTTACATTATTCGGACTGTTATCCTCATCTTCATTGCCATATTCACAACGTTTCGGCCTCTATATCTCTGAGATGAGGTATTAAAATTTCTTGCATTATTTACATTATTCGGACTGTTATCCTCATCTTCATTGTCATATTCACAACGTTTCGGCCTCTATATCTCTGAGATGAGATATTATAATTTCTTGCATTATTTACATTATTCGGACTGTTATCCTCATCTTCATTGCCATATTCACAACGTTTCGGCCTCTATATCTCTGAGATGATTATTATAATTTCTTGCATTATTTACATTATTCGGACTGTTATCCTCATCTTCATTGCCATATTCACAACGTTTCGGCCTCTATATCTCTGAGATGAGGTATTATAATTTCTTGCATTATTTACATTATTCGGACTGTTATCCTCATCTTCATTGCCATATTCACAACGTTTCGGCCTCTATATCTCTGAGATGAGGTATTATAATTTCTTGCATTATTTACATTATTCGGACTGTTATCCTCATCTTCATTGCCATATTCACAACGTTTCGGCCTCTATATCTCTGAGATGAGGTATTATAATTTCTTGCATTATTTACATTATTCGGACTGTTATCCTCATCTTCATTGCCATATTCACAACGTTTCGGCCTCTATATCTCTGAGATGAGGTATTATAATTTCTTGCATTATTTAAATTATTCGGACTGTTATCCTCATCTTCCTTGTCATATTCACAACGTTTCAGCGGTTGTACGCCCCGGTCTTCATCAAGTGATTGAAATTTCGAACCAAAGCCTTTCTTTTGTCCACCGGGCTAGAGAGTTCTAGTTCTACGTGCCATGCATTGTCTCAGTTATTTCCCTTTAACACAACTCTCCAAGTTTTGGATTCACTATTGTTATGGCCTAGTCACTGGATCTAACCAACGTCTTTATCCATTGGGCCATGTGTGCTTATAGTATCTTCAAGAAATAAGCAATCATAATTCTTCACAACTTCCTTTTCTTATTAATACTTGACATTACTTAAGTTAACTGATCCACTCATAAAAAATAGGAAAACATCAGAACGTCCTCTACCCAAGAGATTTGTCAGAATAATAAAAAATACTGATTTTTTTTAAATCATTTCTGAAGTGTGGTTCTGTTCATAATAAAAACGCAATGTTAAATCGATCACTGACTCCGTAAAAAGTTATTAGTACTTTGTTTTTATTTACAAATGTCAAGTAAGAAACTGTGCTTACATAATAGATAACTGCGTACTACAGCTGTGGTCCATTTTCTCAATTCGTAATAGTACGCAGGTATCAATGACGTAAGCATAGTAAACTCGACATCTATAAAGAAAAACAAAGCCTAATATTTTAAGACATTTTATGTTTATACATTCTTTTTTATAGATACAAATATTTAAGACAAATGAACTGTTTATAATAAACAGTATTAAACAACATTTACCGGCCTGAATGTACGAGAAATTGTCATATTTATGCGTCCTCCGACAGGAATCGAACCTGTATCCTATACGGAACAGTCATACAAGGTAATGCTCGATTCCCTGTCGGACTGTTTATTATACACAGAGCATTTACTTAAATATTTGTATCTATAAAAAGAATGTATAAACATAAAAAATGTC